TATATATCAGCTATGATATATACAGTATACCTATACTCATTGGTGGACCAGATGGAAATCTCCTGCGAGCCAGATGTGGCCCACAGGCTGCCAATTTAATAGCTCTGAACTAAAAAATGTTTAGCTTTTTTCTCTAAAACACTAAATTATGATTGAGATTTATTTGGAGAAAAGCCTGACTCAATAAACTGCAAAARTTTGCTGAAAACATTGTTTCTCCTGGCTGACGAGACAGAATGAAAACAACCTCTGATGACGTGAGAACTTCTCTTACGAACTGTGGAACGGGTCAGAAAAGGTTAAGCTAAGCCAAGCATCTTCCAAATAGTAACAAATGGAGCTTGTTTCAGCTGTTTGACTCTGCAGCTATGTATCATTTGCTGATTCTGTGCTGTTTTTTTTTTTTCGTGCTTTGCTTACCCAGTTACTGGTAATCACACCTGCTCAGGCAAACTTTCTGAAGGGAAACATCAGCTTGCACACAACGTAGAGGAACAGTCTGTACATATGCATCATCTTCCTCTCTCTTTCCCACTRGTTTCATGCAGACTGCGCAGGCTGTGGAGCAGAGATCAAGCAGGGTCAGTCTCTCCTGGCGCTGGAGAAGCAGTGGCACGTCAGCTGCTTCAGATGCCAGACCTGCAACATGGTCCTCACAGGAGAGTACATCAGCAAGTGAGTGTGCAAATTTAGAAAAGGYTGACGGAGAGACGCAAGAATTTCAAGTATGACTTCCATTTTCCTGTCCTAGGTTCAGGGGATGGTCTAGTCAATTTTGAAGAGATGCTCTGTCAAATAGTTGTCAATAGTTATCACATTATGAGCACTGACATCAGTCACACAGCACAGAGCTTGGGAAAAAACTGAGCAGAAGTCTTCCACTAGAGTCATACCGGGGTTCGTTTTATATTAATTTTTAGGTTTAGAAAAAGAAAACTTTCCTGAAAATGGCACACTGTGAATGAACTCTACATTAGCTGTTGAATGTATCACTCCACCGAGAGTTGAGTACACTTTTGGACGGACCAGATGTGTCAATCAGGCAGACCGAAACATTCAACCATTTCAAGAGACCGACATCAGTGTAAGAACATGGACGTTGTAAGATTGAGAAAACTGTCTAAAACTAAACAAATAYTGTCATGTAGAGGTTTATTAATAGTTAATGGGGCGTTATTTTAAACAAAATCATATTGCTATCATGGATTTTTGAACACTATCTCATTATATTGTGATAGCTGTATTATTTAAATGTGATAATTGTACAAATTTGCTAGTTTATTGTGCAAATCAGATAATGCCATCCAACTGGTGGTATTAGTGTGTTTTTAACCTACGTTGATAATGAAACTCTTTTAATAAGAATAAGAAATAKGTATACAGTTTTCACTGGGCTAGCTCATTTGTACAATATATTATCCTGTTTGTACAACATAATTACCACATGATAATGTTCAAAATTTTATTTTCTTGTATGACAGCAATATACGTCCATCCTTTTATAGTCTGGTTAAAACCAGCCCCTTGTCCTTCACTTTACRTCKTACGAGGGTCTGGARRCTCGGCTATAGAGAAGCAATTCTTGCTGGAGGCGTGGCCTCTGTTGAAGTTTAAAATGATTGGATTGGTTGGCCGRAAGTGCCAGCTCCACTGTGAAGGAGGCTAAGCTAAGAAGCTAACTGGAAATTGCGTGCGCTGTAAACAACCCTACTGAGAGGAGAYAAGTACCGAGCCYAACGAGACGACTGTAAATGAGAGCTGCTGCTTTGRCAGACAAATTTAATTMAATTTGGAAMCCTTATCAACACAGACTGGCTTCATTCARTTCKTCCGTTGCCTCTGCTAAACTCACAAGCAGACGCTGCACAGAAAATAGACGTTGTTGTTCAAAACTCTGCCTTCTGTTCTCTGATTGGCCCGAACAAAATTCTCCTGAAGAAATCCTCGTCTATGGGAGAAGTCCCATATGGAGCAGTGAAGGGAAACMAGAATTGAGCAGAGCTGCGTAAGAAGGCAAGGGCCAGGRTAGTCCTTTCACATTAGAATTACATTTTTGAGAAAGAGTCCCTTTATCGGTCTGAAAAACCAACTGAAACAGGCCTCAGTTTGGCTAACCATTAGCCTAGCCTGGAAGACTTATGCCCTTTTCTTCCAACTATTACTGATTTAAATATGACCAGACCATCCCCTCTTGTTGGAGTAAACTGCATTGTTTGCTCATATTTTCTTGTGTTGCAGGGAGGGAGTACCGTACTGTGAAGCAGATTACCACGCCCAGTTTGGGGTGAAATGCGAGACCTGCAACCGATACATCAGTGGAAGGGTTCTGGAGGTGAGGTTTCAACACGAGACGAGGAAAACAGAGAATTAGCTGCAAGAAATCTGCAGCGATCCGACAAAAATCCACATTAGGAGATGAWGCTGTTAACGGAGCATAATCTGCGTTATCAGAAATGAGCAGCATCTTTTCATCCTCAGCTAAAAACCCTGCGCTGCCACAGGGAGTGCGCAACTTAAGATCGGGGCCTGATAAARGGTTTGTTCAACTTTGATAAAACCTAATTAAACTGAGTTGGAGCGAGTTGGCCTGGTCTGACTTCAGAGCACATCCAGCTTTTCAGGGTTTCCTACTGAAGTTGAGCAGGTAACAGGTCCGCCTGCGCTCAGAGAAAGCGAGAAGCTACGCTGCGATCTGTTAGAAGTGAGGAGAAGGAGGAAGCTATAAAAAGATTAGAGCGAAAGGAGAGAGGAGAGACGTGGTAGAAGAAGGAATAGGAAGCAAACTCTGCAGCAATTTAAATAAACACACATTTGTGGTTTCACACTGAAGTGGTTCCTAAAAGAGATGGCAGAAGGAGTCAGCAGATTGGTTTAAGAAACAGTAAAGAGTTCTGCTAACTAAACTCTCCGGATGATATCTGTGGTAAAACTTTGTTGGCCACCAACATCCAGAAACACATGCATGGTTAGGCTGTCTCTGTGGTCCTCTGCTTGTCAGAAAAGCTGGTGTTAAGTGCTTTGTTCCTGACTGTCAGCCTCTCTGGGCTATTTATAGCCATGGAGACATGTCTGCCTTCATACAAAACTTTCTATTTCTTTATTTCACTTTGTCCTTCAATGTGCATGTACTTCTGCTTTTTCTATGTTAGCTTGTGATGGCAATACAATCCATTAATAACAAGAAAAGTGAGGCSTTGCTTGCTGTATTTCCCATATTTTTAAGTCATTTTCATCAGAATGTTTGCATACGCATAGAAGGACCCTTTCTGTTCAGCCATTGTTCCTCCATTTGTGTCTCAGTTTTTGATTCTCCAACAGCAGTTTTGGAAAACCCTTACAAAAAWGATCAAGAACTGCATCTCAGTTGGAAAATAATGTGCTTTGGCTTTTAGTACTATAAATTGTATTAAAAATCCACTTAAAGTAAAATGGTAGTTTGATGAAACAAATGAGAAAACGCCTGTTTTAAACTCTACAGTTCAGACGTATTTTACTGTAGAAATACTATTTAAAGCTTAAACAGGTTACAGAAAGTTGGACTTCATATAAATTATATTGCATTTTAATATGTTTTTCATAGTTTTTACACAATTATAGTTTAAACTGTGTGTTTTTAGAGAAATTTACGACAGATGTAAGGGTGTGATAATGRCATGCACTGTAACGTTTGAGCTGTGACTTTTCGCTCATGATGTGACTTTTGCAAACAAACTCTTTTGTTCTGTCCAGACTTTTACATTTCTTATTCATCAAAACATATATTCATCAAAACATATATTCATCAAAACATAGGCATTTTTGTCTTCTTTCAACAGGTGTGTCTTTTGCTGCTATAGATCTTATAGTGTTCTCTAAATTCCCCTGAGAACGCAGGGTGCACACCTGAACTATCATTGACTTTCTCATGGACTTTCATTGTWTCTGAGCTTTTGTTAAACTGAAAGTGAAGCATCCTTAACTTATCAAATCTCCAACGTAAAACTCTTTACACACCTAAAAATTAATACTTGTGACAACCCGTTCTTTTTCACTACTGCTTATAGTTTTTGCAGTTTCTTTGCTGTATTTTTTGTTTTCAGTTTGCATTTTTCTCTGTATTATTAGGAAGGCTGTCAGGGAGTGTCAGATGCTGTGTGGTTACAAGGGGCTTGGTTCAGAGTATTTTGCATTTTTTCCATACAGTATATACACTCACCGGCCACTTTATTAGGTACACCTCGCTAGTAACGGTTTTGTGGTCATAAAGGGATGGACATGGTC